GTGTTGATGTCTAACAACACTTCAGTGTTGATGAGTGTTGATGTCTAACAACACTTCAGTGTTGATGTCTAACATAATTTCAGTGTTGATGAGTGTTGATGTCTAACAACACTTCAGTGTTGATGTCTAACAACACTTCAGTGTTGAGTGTTGATGTCTGACAACACTTCAGTGTTGAGTGTTGATGTCTAACAACACTTCAGTGTTGATGTCTAACAACACTTCAGTGTTGAGTGTTGATGTCTAACAACACTTCAGTGTTGATGTCTAACAACACTTCAGTGTTGATGAGTGTTGATGTCTAACAACACTTCAGTGTTGATGTCTAACAACACTTCAGTGTTGATGAGTGTTGATGTCTAACAACACTTCAGTGTTGATGTCTAACAACACTTCAGTGTTGATGAGTGTTGATGTCTAACAACACTTCAGTGTTGATGTCTAACAACACTTCAGTGTTGATGAGTGTTGATGTCTGACAACACTTCAGTGTTGATGAGTGTTGATGTCTGACAACACTTCAGTGTTGATGAGTGTTGATGTCTGACAACACTTCAGTGTTGATGTCTGACAACACTTCAGTGTTGATTCACTGCAGACTGTTCCTGGTCCTTCCTGCAGGTTTCAGCTGCTCTTCAAACAGAACCAGAACCAGTTGAACTATTAAACAATAAAAAATAATATTTTTAAAGCAAACTGAACTTTAATGTGACGACAGAACAAAGAGAAAACACTCTCGGGTCAGAACCAGAACCAGAGGACCTGGTCCAGTCCTGCAGTGTTTTTCTGCTCTCTGAATGATAAAAACAGAACCGGGTCAGGTTCAGGGTCCAGTAATGATGCAGAAAAAGATCTGATTGTTGGAGGAAACCCACAGGATGAGTCCAGAACCTGCTGACCCGGTTCTGTGGACCAGAACCAGAGTTCAAACACTGAAGCATCAAACCAACCAGTGAGATTCGTTTTATTTTCATAACGGGTCAGCCTGTCAGAACTTTTAATTCTAAGGTTGAACTGAGCCTGGAAATAATGTTTTTATAAATTATGAACAATTATTGATCAAATAAAAACTGAGTTTGATTTAAAGTTTATAAAACTCCTCACATCAGATAAACTTTAATAAGTTTAATTAAACCAGTTTCAGCCTCACAGTGTAAATAATATAATATAAATATGAATTAATTTTATTATTTTTCTGCAGGTCAGAGTTTATAAATCATGTGATTTTATTTCTTTATTCAGGAGAAATGTTTGTTTTAAATAAACAYGTTGTTGCTCTTTAATCAGCTGCAGATGTTTTCCTGCAGGAAGTAAAGCAGCTTTAATCTGAATTAATGKAGAGAAGTTCTGCTGCAGCGGTTCTGAAGAACTCGGGCTTTATTTGGGGTCATGAGGGTCATCCTGTGACATCACTATCATCACACAGCAGCAGGGCACAGATAAGGAGGCCGTCAGAACTCTGCAGCTATCAGGACCTGCAGGCCCGGCAGAACCAACCACAACACGACCCGTTTCAGGGAACACACAGCTGGCAGAAGGATCATTTATTGACATAATGCAACCATGCTAACATTTCCTCTGTGACAAATAATAAATATGATATAAAAATCACTGCAGCGTCTGAAGCTGTTAAACATAAAAATAAAAACATGGCCGCCCAGGTCAGCCGCCACGCAGGAAGTTAAGGCAAGTTGGTCTTCTGGTTGCAGACGGAGTGAATGTTTTCTGGAGCCGATCAGATGACCTGCAGAACCAAGAAGAACCTGTCAGAACCGGTCAGAACCCATCAGAACCCAGAGCAGACTGCAGGTGTGTCACTCAGGAGGCTCTGTACCTTTGTTAGAGACATTTCTGCATCAGGTTCATGACGTCACCAAACACAAAGTTGAAGAGCTGCTCCTTTGACATGGTTCCATCTAGCTGCACTGTAGAACCACACACTTCATCAGCACAACACTGATACACAACAACAACAACAACAGAGCTCCACCTACCAACATCAACACCTGAGTCCTCCATGATGTTCTTGTGTTTCAGGTACATGGGCCAGACGTGGCCGTCAAACAGCCCGGGGGGGTCAGGAAATGTGTAGTTTCTGGATCTGCAGACAAAAACACACAGAGATGAAATAAAAACAGGGTTCATGCAGGTTTCAGTACATTTAATTTAAAACCTTTAAAGACCTTTTAAGACCATTAGGAAGGATATTTAAGACCAAACCAACACATTAACATTCAAATGATCCCAAAATGTTTAACATAGAAACCTTTATTATTTTAATGAAACAATCATATCTATGAGATCCTCCTATCAACCGCTGTGGAGCGTTTCTAACTGGGTGTAAAATTCACTGGTTTTTATCTGCAGTTATGACAGGATTTATAATTTAACAAAGACAGGCAGCAAACTACATCAACCTCTGAGTACGGTCCATCCTTCAGTGTGCTTACAAACAGTTTGTAAACCTGTCTGTTTAACTAAAAGAACTCATAATAATTAACGTAGAAAACTGGTGGTCTGGGCTTCAGAGATGAATGAACCAATTGGCGGGCCAAATTTTTTGTCACTTGTGGGCCAGATGTGGCCCGCGGGCCACCAGTTGAATAGCCCTGTTTTAATGGAAATGATCTGAGCCGTTACCTCCTCCTGTTTTTGCATTCTTCGTACGGGATGGAAATAAAGTAGCGTTGGTTCAGCACGTCGATCAAAGGCCTGCAACAACACCACCGGTCATCAGAACCAATCAGAACCAGTCAAACCAGTCCACGCTCAGGTGTCCTCAGGTGTCACGCAGCTCTTACTCGTAGGTGTAAAGCAGGAAGCCCTCCACAATCAGGATGTGGGTGTCCTCCTCCTCCTCCCTCTGGGTGTCAGACTTGGGGATGATTTCAGTATCCAGGGTGTTGTTAACGCCGTGAGACTTCTCGAACTTCACCGGGTTGTCCAGCCACGCATGGATGGTGCTCATCATGGCGTCCATGTCCAGAGAAGTGATGACTGCAGAGGACGAGTGGGTGGGCGAGAGAGAGAGAGAGAGAGAGAGAGACAGAGAGAGAGAGACGTGGAGAAATCACAGAGACAGTGAGAGCCATGTAGAAGAGCCCAGCTTTGTTTTTATAGCATGCAGGTTACAGACGTGACAATTAAAGCACACACACACACACACACACACACAC